GTGTGTGTGTGTGTGTGTGTGTGTGTGTGTGTGTGTGTGTGTGTGTGCGCGCGCGCGCGTGCGTGCGTTAGGGACGATAAAGGAAAACGTCCTTTCCCCTCATCCCTGTCATTTTATAATTCAGCAGCTATTCCTCTCCCGGGAATTCCAGCAGCCAGATCATTACACACACACGCATGCAGCATGCTCACACACACGCATGCGGTCCTAGTGATGGCTATGTCTGAGTGAATGTTTTATTATGGCTGGTGCATGCTGACTGAGAAGTCAGTTAATTGTGGCAACACCTTGAAGTGTTAACTGCTCTCCCTCGCACTGTTCATCAAACATTCATCTAAGCTGTGCTTCTGTGGGAGGAAGCTGGCCCGGTCCACCCGGGGCGATGCGACTTAAGTCGGTCCAACCCCACACCAGCCGCTTTATCTTCTGGTTTACCCTGATCTCACGGCTCCTCTCTGCAGCCACCTTCGAATCTGCTATCTTACTTGTTGTTGTGTAGCTCGAACCGGGGCGCCAACACCATCGCCACCTATTTAACCCTCACAGCCCCGCAGATCCATCATCATACAACACGCACAAACAGCCCCAACACTCGGCATGCACCCCCGCGGCACTCTCCCCCATCCATAGAGTGTTGTGGGAGACCAACCCCACCTCTTAACCCTTTGATACACAACCTCTGAAAGTGCTCACTATTTTTCTCTGAATTTTAAAAGATCACTCTTGTCACAAAGTGTGTTAAGTGTGGCCACAAAGTTGGTCTGTGGTTCTCCATACTGCAGGGATACACTGTGCTTGTGAGGGCTTCCCGCGCTACATTTGAGAGGAACATCTAAGGAGCCGTTTGAATTATTGTTGGTAGACAACAGGCCTTCGTGTTATGGAAAGCTACCGAGCAAAGAGTGGTTTTAGCGGAGTGGATGGTGTTTATACAGCTTTCCATACGGTGACGACAAAAGAGCAAAGACAAATTTTTGATTCATTGTTGCCACAAACGTGTTAAGCTTTGAAAGCACATCATGGCGCCTCCATGATGTGCATCTGGTGAAGTTCTGTTCTTATTTTGTCTCGTCTTTTTCTCTTTCCTTCCCTCATTTCTCAGTTTTGTCGAGCAAGTCATCTTGGCCCGCTTCCAAAGAACCACCGAGTTGCTTCTACACACACACACACACACACACACACACACACACACACACACACACA